ATTTCTTTGCTTTGTACATTTTATGCACATTAGCAAAATCTCTTTCTATGATGTTTTCTTACTTTAAACTACATCAGGTTTTTTGCTGGTTATATTTCAATAGCACTTATTTCAAATACATCAACTTAAGATTGCTTTTAAGTGACAGTTGACAGCAGACGTGAGGGACCTGTTCTCCATCCATTTAGTCATCTGTTTATGTGTCCTTCTATCTGTCCTTTCATACTGTATGTGTTAAATGTAATTGGTGATGTGTTCAATATTGTTTTCACTGTTACACTGTAGGTTATCTTTTGGTTTTATAATGTCACCAACACTAGACCACCACCACCAGAAAGAATCATTTGATTTTTAAAAACATAACTTAATGTCATTCACACCAGCTCTCATTCTGTCTGTGAACACTCCCCCACCCCTTTCTCCCCCCTGTCTCCTCAGTGAGGGCTGCAGACGAGAAAACACTGTGAAGAACGTCGGATGCCGAAAATACGCATTTAACTCGCTGCAACTCAAGGCCTTCCCCAAATACTACCGACCACCGGACGGCACATATGGCAAAGTTGAATCCTGACTGATATTATTGGACTGTTGTTTTAGACTGAGTACAATCACGATACTGTGTAATTTGATCATCATGTCACCTGGCTTCAGAGGTTTTAGATTAGATTTAGGTGCTAATAACTAGTAGTAGCTTCCTGAAAAAGCCTCTAGATTTTTACCAACTTGGTATAATAACTGTTTTTAAGTATTGTAGTAGCTGCTTATGTCATATTATGCAAAAAAGCACTGAATACCAGACTGTTTTCCCAGGTAGCTGAAATACCAGGCTTGTGGGTTACAAAAGTGCTGCCTCAGCCCTGATCAGGCACTGAATGATCAATATTAGCCACGCAAGTATTTATATTTACATTTTACAAACAAAAGGCCAGAGGTAAATCATTGAAGCCGCATGTTTAAAATTAGTTAGGAAAAAAGGGTAAGAACAGACGGTTGTCCATTGTCAATGTGTGTCTGTGCATTGAGGACATCTACTAGAGAAGCCTTACATTAAGTATTTAGAGGATTAGATTTACATGATTCTGTGTGCTTAATATTGTCAACAAATCAAATGGAAAGACCAAAACCAACAATGTCCACCTCCTGGTCACTCAGCCTCAAGCCTGTTAAATGTAAGGTCTTAAAAAATGGGACACACATATAGCTTTTTTGTTTCCAAAGAGACTGATAAATATACAGTAACACCTGAGCATTGTAGCTTTTAGCAAACACTTCCCAAACAACAGTAGCTGCTGCATTTCTTGGGACTATTTTACCCTGACGAGAAAGAAAGCTACCAAACTATCCACCCTACCAAAGTGTAAGGTGAAAAATCTGAATTTAGAGTAATGTCAAAATGTTCAAAATGGGCAGACACATTGAGGACACTCATATTTGACAATACTTGATCAAATCAACTTGACTGATCTTACCAACAGCACAGCTAGACAAATAAAATTTGTATAAGTACATATGAAGAATGTTCAGTTTGTAGGTTTCACCTCTTTACTCCATGTCTTGTGTTTATGCAGTTTGTTTTCACCGCTTATGTTTAAGACCACTTCACACTTTATAATTTAAGGGGTCACACAGCAAATTGTACACACAAAATAAGAGAAATGTTAGGACCTTCTTCCTGTTTGCCAATTTCCTATTGGAAAAGTTGCACTAAGTTGTGTTTTGTGGCTCTTTCTTTCATTCAGGGCAGAAACAAGCATGTTGATCATGTTACCATGTACCTGTTATTTTTCTTACACTCTCATGTCTCCTCTGCCACATTTACCTGTAATGCTGTATCTGTGCCACACAGGGGAGTCACTGCACTGTAAAACCACACTGTGTGTGTGTGTCCATATTTCACCAGTTCATAAACATACTGTCAGACTCACTGCTGAAGGCAGATCTACTGCAGTCAGTTTAGAAGTACACTCATTACTGTATTTACATGTTTGATTTAGCAATGAAGTATTTTTATTCTGTCAACATGCTGTGCTGTACATTTTCCGTTTTAGTAATACTTTATGTTGATCTATTCTCAGACACCAGAGAACATCTATGAAGCTTTTAATGATGCTGTATAATATACCTTGTCAATATCTGATGCTGAAATAAAATGAGTTGTTTGTTGTTAGTCAGTAGAAACATGCTGAACAAAATAGTGATGCCTCTGAGCCAGCAAGAGCTTGGCAACTGCCTTTCATTTTTAGGTGGGGCTATATAATTTTTTTTTTTTTTTACTTCTGATTTATTAAATTATAACTTTTTTGACTGTTGGCCAGACAAAGCAATCAATTTGAAGATGTCTCCTTTGGCTCGTGGAAATTGTGACAGGCTTTTGTCCATTGTGAATGATAATGATTATTTGATTGATCAAAGAAATGATCTAACAGATTCATTGGTATAATAGTAAATACTGTTTACTTGAGCTAGGTTATTTTTTATTGGAACACAAATAGCACATTTACAGGACAAAGGAGTGTACCTATCGATCTGTTTGATTGATAGGTGTAAAATACTCAAAGCGGTAGCATGGACAACGAGAAATGAGGTCTAACAACAATAATGAAATAAAAAGCAGCTTGTTATATTTCTGGAGTTTGTGGTAACGTGCGTGGCCTCAGCCCCAGGTATCTGGTTTAAGTTAAAAGTGGTTAGAAACTGATTCCAAGTGTCGGTAAAAGTTGATATATTATTCTTATGGGTGGATGATATCTTCTCTAGTGTGATTGGTTCTATGAGAAGGTTGGTCCAGTGGCTGTTGTGTAATGAGTTTTTATATTTCCAATTTAGAAAGATTGTTTTCTTGATGATAGTTAGAGCAATGATAGTTAGAGCGATAGCGTTTTTATATTTATTTGGTAGGTGGTTGATTCTACAGCTCAAGATGGAGAGCTTCTCTGTCACTGCTACCCAGAGGGAGTAAGCGGGTTGACGGGTCCAAGTAGCATGGAAGTAATCATCAGCACAACTCAGAGTGCATTGTGAACAAGTATCTGTATCAGTAAAACCCATTTTAAAGATTTACCTTGTGTGATGTGAGTCCTGTGAATAGTCTTATATTGTGTAAGCTGTAAGTTTATATATAGTCATAAAGGAGATATTATTCAAGATCTGGGTCCAGAAGTCAAGGCTGGAGGGGAGCGACAAATCCTTTTCCCATTTAGTCATTGGTATTGTTCTGTCTGTATTTGACATTAGTTTATAAAGTATAGATATTCTTTGAGTTTGTAAGCTTCATTATTTCATTCTAAACTGTTCTGCTGGAGTTCGGCCTGGGGATGGAACCGATTAGTCATATATGTCTTTGATAAGATATGCATTTTATGTTCAGACTTAAAGACTGCATCACTTTGTGACTTTGTCAGGGATTGTTTGATTTACTTGTCTGACTCCTTGCATATGAATTTGTTCAGACATTATTTTTCTCTGTGCTGAGTCTTGCCCTTTTCTTGTCTGGGCACAATTTTCTGACGTTTGTCTTTTTGTTTTTCTCATCCAGAGGCTGCTCTCCTGCGGCCTGTCTTCTGATACACAACATTGAGATGTCTTGCTAAAAAACACAGGAGGTTGCTCACATTGACTTAACCGTCTCTCATGACACAAATCTTGGCTAGGAAAGTGCTAAATTGTTACGTAACTTCATTGCTCCATGTTGATGCTGTCTTGTGAAGGAAGCAGTCTGGCACCAAAACTGGATTGTTTTAAGTTACAAAAAAGAGCCACCCACATTAGTTAAAATTATTCTTAATAACTAGTTAAAGCTGTTGTACTTTTTAAAGGTGAGTTCTAAAAACACTCCTTGATACTGTGAAGTCGTCTGATCCTATAGTTTCCTTTCCTTTGTACCCACTTTTAATCTGGTTGAAGTTGGATCAGATTCATCACTGCAGTGTGACAAACAGCCATAAACAGGACAGTAGAGCTCACAGACTAATCTGTCTACACCTCACAACATTAAGCATACCAGGCCCAGGTCACCTGAACTGCATGTATGCCATGATCACAGGCATCAGGCAATTGTATAAAGTGTTGCTGAAGTCATGGCAGCAATGAAGAGCACGGAAACTGGCCACTGAACCTTAGCTGTCATGATTTCATCAACTAGTTAATTGTGCTGATAGGGAATCAATAGTGGTGTTAAGGCTGTTAGTTGGCTTGTGTTCACTGTTGTCATGGAAACGTCATGCGCCTGAAGCTTATCAACAGCCAACCTAGAAAAAAAACAGATCAGAGATTTTGATCCAGGTGTGAGGAGAAGCCATCATGTGATTGATGTGTCTCTGTAGGCTGAATTTTGTGCGATGAGGCTGAGCAGAGGGCTGCATGTGACATGTGAATGGAGGCGACAGCTCCCACGGCCTTAGCTTGGTCAGACAGCTTACAGCCTGCACCTTTATTGAGACGGTGCCTGACTCACCTGCGTGGGCGCTCTTGTCTGCTTTGGCTTCACATGCTGAAAATCTGCCGTGTTTTGCAGTTTGACTGCTTTCTTGATTTGGTCAGCTCATGCAAACTTCAACAGGTCCTTGCAATGAAATCATGGCTGGTGCAGTGAAGACCTTAAGCAGAAGGTGGTTTGGTCTACACACTGTAAAGCCATTTTTAGTTCAAAGCCTGATTGTCTACAAATGAAATATTGCTTTTTCAGTAATCATATTGGCAACTATTTTCCTGTTTGCTCTTGAACACACTTTGCACTGTTACCCACAGACTGGGTATCTGAAATACAGTACTCACATATTTTAATTCATGTTGCAGCCTTTGTCAGCATCTGGGTCACAGGAACCGACCTTAGTCTACTGCAGTTGAGCCAGCTGTGCAGTGTGTTGCATCAGAGATGCTACGGGTGCTCTGCTGGAGCCTGTGCATCACTTAAAGCTGCAGAGAAATCCTCCCACCAGCTTGGCCTGATATCTCTCTGCCTGTGGTTCAGCACAATGAAACAGAACTGTTACCATGGAAACAGTTTACATGAAACAAATGCACCCTCTTCATAGCTTAGTGTCTTATATTAGCATTGGCAGGTATTGGAGAGAAAACTCCTTCTACATAATTACATACTCTTTAATAAGATGCATTTTTATTCAGCTTCGCTCCGAAGATGCAGCCTGGATGTTCATATCACAGAGGCTTCTAACCAGTCAACATTTGTTTTCTGCGTCTATGAATAGAAACTGAAGCGCTTGTGTGTGTGTGTGTGTCTGTCAGAGGCACTCAGCACCAGGTACAGCTGGAGCGTACAAGTAGCTCTGCTTTGTTAAACACAGCTTTGTTGTCTGCTGAGCGCGTGGAGCTGCTGAATAGAGCACTCAGTGACAGACATGGTGCCGGTGAGGGAATGGCCACACAGCGCTGCCCTCTACTTAAAATGCTGTTGGTGTGTGGGGCCTGTTGTTGTGAAGGACACTTTCAGTTATGGAGCCTTGAAGTGGGACCTGAATCCAGCCTATCCTAATCTTCAGAAACAGTCTCTTATGAGGCTTATTTTAAGATGTCTTGTCACTAGGGTAATTGTGATGCTGTGCAGTAGTGTAGCTCACTGATGTGGTTTTGCTCACAATAAGAAAAATGCCATATACAAGCAGCCTTATTTTTGAACTTGCAGCAAGAATGGTGGTGAGAGGGATGACAACATCATCTCTTTGCAAACAAAGGGAGGTTTTGCTATTAACTTGTTCCCTCCCATCTCCTTTCTCCAAACCAACTCCCCCCTCAGTCTCCAGGTGGCGTAGCGCCCTGTCCACCCCCTCCCCCTTCTCCACCCCTGGCCCTCCACTGAGTCAAGTGTCTCCCATCAGCGCGTCCCATTCAGCTAAACCCTGTTCCACCCCCCAGTCATCTACAAGACATGGTAACTAGACTGCAGATGTGCTTTTCCATTTTTGTTCTGTCAGCATGGCGAATTAACATGGAGAGCTAGGACGACTTTGTTTATTATACTGGTTAGGTCTTTATCAAGTCAGAACGGCATGTGTAATATAGGTGTGTGCGACAGTTGTTCATTAAACCTCTTAGATCATATAATTACAATGTTGCTTTACTCTTACATCAATAAATAAAACGACTATGAGTGGCTGGAGTTGGATTTTTTTTTTCCATACCAATGTCCTTGATGACACAGAGCCAAATTTGATTTATTCATGTAGCTACAGTGCCTTGCGAAAGTATTCGGCCCCCTTGAACTTTGCGACCTTTTGCCACATTTCAGGCTTCAAACATAAAGATATAAAAGTGTAATTGTTTGTGAAGAATCAACAAGTGGGACACAATCATGAAGTGGAATGGAATTTATTGGATATTTCAAACTTTTTTAACAAATAAAAAACTGAAAAATTGGGCGTGCAAAATTATTCAGCCCCCTTAAGTTAATACTTTGTAGCGCCACCTTTTGCTGCGATTACAGCTGTAAGTCGCTTGGGGTATGTCTCTATCAGTTTTGCACATCGAGAGACTGAAATTTTTGCCCATTCCTCCTTGTAAAACAGCTCGAGCTCAGTGAGGTTGGATAGAGAGCGTTTGTGAACAGCAGTTTTCAGTTCTTTCCACAGATTCTCGATTGGATTCAGGTCTGGACTTTGACTTGGCCATTCTAACACCTGGATATGTTTATTTGTGAACCATTCCATTGTAGATTTTGCTTTATGTTTTGAATCATTGTCTTGTTGGAAGACAAATCTCCGTCCCAGTCTCAGGTCTTGTGCAGACTCCATCAGGTTTCCTTCCAGAATGGTCCTGTATTTGGCTCCATCCATCTTCCCATCAAGTTTAACCATCTTCCCTGTCCCTGCTGAAGAAAAGCAGGCCCAAACCACGATGCTGCCACCACCATGTTTGACAATGGGGATGGTGTGTTCAGGGTGATGAGCTGTGTTGCTTTTACGCCAAACATAACGTTTTGCAGTGTTGCCAAAAAGTTCGATTTTGGTTTCATCTGACCAGAGCACCTTCTTCCACATGTTTGGTGTGTCTCCCAGGTGGCTCTTGGCAAACTTTAAACTACACTTTTTATGGATATCTTTAAGAAATGGCTTTCTTCTTGCCACTCTTCCATAAAGGCCAGAGTGTGGCAGTATACGACTGATTGTTGTCCTATGGACAGAGTCTCCCACCTCAGCTGTAGATCTCTGCAGTTCATCCAGAGTGATCATGGGCCTCTTGGCTGCATCTCTGATCAGTCTTCTCCTTGTATGAGCTGAAAGTTTAGAGGGACGGCCAGGTCTTGGTAGATTTGCAGTGGTCTGATACTCCTTCCATTTCAATATTATCGCTTGCACAGTGCTCCTTGGGATGTTTAAAGCTTGGGAAATCTTTTTGTATCCAAATCCGGCTTTAAACTTCTCCACAACAGTATCTCGGACCTGCCTGGTGTGTTCCTTGTTCTTCATGATGCTCTCTGCGCTTTAAACAGACCTCTGAGACTATCACAGTGCAGGTGCATTTATACGGAGACTTGATTACACACAGGTGGATTCTATTTATCATCATTAGTCATTTAGGTCAACATTGGATCATTCAGAGATCCTCACTGAACTTCTGGAGAGAGTTTGCTGCACTGAAAGTAAAGGGGCTGAATAATTTTGCACGCCCAATTATTCAGTTTTTTATTTGTTAAAAAAGTTTGAAATATCCAATAAATTTCGTTCCACTTCATGATTGTGTCCCACTTGTTGTTGATTCTTCACAAAAAATTACAGTTTTATATCTTTATGTTTGAAGCCTGAAATGTGGCAAAAGGTCGCAAAGTTCAAGGGGGCCGAATACTTTCGCAAGGCACTGTATGTAAATGAGGCTAATCGGAGAACATGGTACCCTTGTTATATTTACAGTGTTTTACATTTATGCATTTTTTTAGTACCTATAAGAGATGCTTGATTCATTCAGGTAGAGTAGCTGTGAGAAAAATTTCTATTAATCTTGTCTTCCTTTGTCCCTGAAATGTTTGTCTTTTTACCCTTCTCTCTGCCCTCCATACCTCAGCTCCATCCCTCTCCTCCCCACTCCACCACGTCCTCCATCAGACCCTCAGTCCTGTAGGGAAGGAGCTTTCCCCTGTTGCTGAGAGGACTCCCACATTCCTCCCCCATCCTGCCAACCGAAGTAAGAAGCAGTGCTGCATTGTCCAATGTTTCATGTTGCCTTTGTTTGCTTTTCATCTAAAAACATCTTGATTCCTTTCTTTGTAGCTTTCTATGGAACATAACATACTCAAAAGAAGAAATAAATCTCAAACATTAGTCAAATCTTTCATGAAATACTTAAAGGAATAGTTTGGGATTTTTCAAGTTGTTGTAATATTGGTGTATCCCTATGCGGATTCAAGCTACATTTCAGTTGCCTTTTTAAAAATGCAGTGCAGCTTGTCACTCTTTATATTTCAGTGTTTTGCTGCTGGAGTCATCATTTTACTTTGGAGTGTGAGCAGAGGACGGATTCAAGTGCATTATTAGTGTTGGAAAAAGTAATGTTTCAGACACAGCAGAGGGCAAAGCTGCAGGGAATAATGGGCAACACTGGAGTACTGTTCAGCAGCACAGTCTCACTTGCAAGACAAATGCTAGATGGGACTCAGAGAAGTTGTCAGAGACCAAAGCTGGCACTAGTCAAACTCTTTTTGTTGACTGTCATTAATTTAAGGCCGCAGCCTCCGATGCTCAGCCCTCAGTCCCCAGTCATCCATGGACAGCGACCTCAGTGCTTTAGAGGTGGAGGACAACTCCATCACGCTGGGATACAAACTGCAAGACCTCACTGACGTCCAGGTTATGGCCCGGCTGCAGGAGGAGAGTGAGTTATTGACTGAGCGCAGATCCCACCACTAGTGTGATCAGGCACACAAACGCTAAGAAGAAAACATGCAGTAGTCGTGCTGTTGTTTAGCTCTGCCCACTGAGCTTGAACATGCCTAATGGCAGTATTTCTGTCTCCAGATCAGCTCTTGCTCTGGGAGTCAGTATATAATTACAATTCTAAATTACAGGGAATTGAGACCACTGCATGCTGCTGGCATTGTTCTTTATTTTAGAGCAGTGGTTCCCAAAATGTGGGGCTGAAGAGACATTGCAAGGAGGCACCTAAAGAGTGAATTATGCTTTGGATAGACTTCACAGCAGACATATTGACCTGTCCCACACAGGCCTAATAGCTTATTGCCTGCTGTATTGCATGATAGTGGTTGCAGAAGCCAAGTCACCATTAAAAGTCACAAGTTCCTCCAGTGCTTTTTCTGCTATGACTAGTCCAAATGTGTGGAAAAAAAGCTTAAGAATTCATTTGGTAATAATAAAGAAACAAGATAGTTCTATTACTAGCAAATGTATTGAGATGTATTCCTGAAGAAAAGCTACTGTATGTGAAATGCCAAATGAAAGAGAAACTGCAGCTGATCGTTAAATTCAACACCATCAAATCCAATGTATTTACTTGCAAACTTTTGTTTTTAATTAGCAGGCCAGAAATTTCATGTTTTTAATGAAATTTAAATTGAATAATTTTATTATTCATCTCCTCAGGCCTGTTCCAAGTTGAAAAAATTTCAGAAAGGGGTTAGAGAGAGGAAAGTTTTAGAAATGAGTCTGCTTGGATCCAACAGTTTAGTGCAGTTGTGGTCAGAAATCTACACTGACTTATGATGAACACGAATGTCATGACAATACTGGGCTTTCAGGGATTTCTTTCACCTGTTCTTTTCTGAGTTAGAAGAACTGTACAACATACATCTATAATAGAAGAAACCCCCAGGAATTTGCTGCAAATCAACATGGGATCACAATTATACATAGTCATTCATTCAGTGGTGTTGACGGATCCAAAATGTCTTAATTTGTTAAGCCCAAGGCCTCTTAACTTCCTGTTAGTTATCATGATTGAGTACAGATGGAAGCTTCAATCATCTGCCAAAAGAGCAGTTCAGACAAGTCACTGAAAGCCTGATATGGCCGTGACCTTTGTGTCCATAATGAGTGCATGCCAACTTGTGAACACAACTGTTTGGTAAGGGTAAATTCCAAAAAATGGCTCATACATCACAAATGTAATAAAGTATAAAGTAGTTTCTTTTCCTTAAACATCAAATGCTTATAGCGAGTTCAAGCAAGTGAAGTGAGCAAAAATAAAATGGAATCATTTTTACTGTATATCTGACTGTCTAAACAAGACCTAGCCAAGTATGTAATGTTAGCATTCAGTACTTGGTATGATTTGATTCTACAAACATTTCACTCAGTACTTAGGTATTAAGGTTTTACAGTTTTAAACAATCGAACTTTGTCACTCCTACAAGAACAATTGATCATAACTGGTTAGCAAAGTGTACTTAAAACCATATTTGATTTTGGCTGTTACTGAGTTTTTTGGAGTTGTGTGCCAATTCTCTTCTTCTGCTGTCCATCTGTTTCTGTTCTTCCCTCCTTTATCATTTTTTAACATAACACCAGATCTCAGAGCCCATCGCTATTTCAGCTTCATTAATCCCAGGAGGTGATAGTTATGGTTTTTTCTTTGTTTCGTTCTGTTTTTCTGTTGCTCGGTGTGTGTGTCTGTGTTTTGCACGCTGGTCTTGCTATCTTGCTCCCCCAGGTCTAAGGCAGGACTTCGCCAACACGTCGTCCATCCTGGCCACCCGCCGCAGCCAGAGCTTCAGCTTCCAGCTCAGCGCCGGCCCCGACCTGGAGGAGGAGGAAGACGAGGAGGACGACGAAGACTACGACCTCTTGCCTCCGCCGCAGCCGCGCCTCACCCGCCTGCCACACTCCCACACCTTCTCCAGCATCCGAGACTGGCAAAGAAGCACCAGTTCCCTCTCCACCCCTCCTTCCACCCCCTCCACCCCTCTGTACCCTTCTGCTGGGTTCGCCATTCAATATCACCTCCAAGCTCAACCTCAGGGATTGGGACTGGTCAGCTCCTGCGCAGCCGAGCAGCAGGGTTTCAGAACAGGATCAGGTGAGGAGAGACACTTTAGCATCACCTCTGATTTTAAAAGTGTGAGGCTACCCAAGTTCTTTCTCATGTTGGAACTGAAGGAAAGCAAGCCAGCAACCTTTGTCTGAAAATGCCCAGGAAAGAAACCTTAATTAAAGCTGCACAAATCAGTAGTCTATTTTTATATTAACCAATAGTGACAAACATAGTTTTGTCACTGTAAACATCACCCTGCTCTGCAGTTCCCTGTGGCTCTGTGGAGCCTTTCAGCTTGTTTTGTTTTTTTACAGCCCACACACTACAATCATTTGTTTGTATTATGTTTTATTTGAATAAGATTTAATAAGAAGTAAAACCTAGAAAACGGAATCGTACCTTTAAATGATCATATGCTTGTATAGCGCTTTTCTATGCACTGCAGCACACTCAAAGCACTTTCACACTATTTGCCCATTCATTCACCAGGTGTAACTTGGGGTTCAGTGTCTTGCTCAAGGACACTTCGACATGTGGACCGGAAAAGCTGGGAATCGAACCACCAACTCTCCAGTTATAAGATGACCTGCTCTGCCTCCTGAGCTGAACTGTGATATAAAAGTATCATAGTCAACAAAATGATGAGACAATGTTTGCACGGCAGAGAAATGTTTCTATATCCACATTGTATTTAAGAACAATAGCTCTTTAGCACTTGTGTTAGAGGCCCTAAAAAGCAAGGTAAAGGTAGGGTCATTTGACCACCATACTGTACATTAAATTACTCCCTCTGAATTCTTTATGACAGTGAGAATTGAATTTCTAACAATAACATAATGACTTGGCATAATCCTGTCGTACGTATGGACCTAAAGCTCTAAGACCAGCATGCGTTTCCATCACGAGGAGGAGATAAGAGAGAGTTTAATGGGATTAGAGTTAGTGGTGTATCTGTGATTGAGGCAGCTGCTAACCACTGTAGAGTAAAGGAGATCAGCTTTCTGTGCCCTCTTAAGGGATGAAGGCATAAGAAAAGGACAGACATGACTCTGTGACAAAATATCAACTTATTTCTAATGGTATTATAATCCTGCATTGTATTTATTTGTGTCTTTGGACTAGGTTTCTGTTCTTGAACCTGTTTTGATTCAGTAATACAGGCCTTTATAAGTGAAAGTCTGGCAGAGTGGAGGTTTACACTTAATACATTTGTTTTTGTGTGGGTGTTTGTTAGATAAGCTGAGGAGGAGCATGCCTAACCTAGTCCGAGCCCCCAGCATGCCTAGTGTGCCCGTGCCAACTAATTTCGGCGCTTCTCCTTCTTTGCTTCGTAATAGTCTGAGTTTTGATTCTTCTTGTGGACTTGCTCAACCACAGCCCTCCAGTAAGATTGAAATTCTCTTCTTTCAAGTTCTGTCCATAAAATTCTGCCATAAACTTTAAGGAGCTGTTCATTAATTGTTGGCTTCTTTGCTGCTTGTACATTTGTTATGCCCTCCCCAGGCCAGCTGCAGAACAGGATCCAGAGTGTGGGGAACTTCTCTGCCTTGTCACGGCAACCACTGAAGGCCACCGCCTACGTCAGTCCCACCATCAAGCGCTCAGCCTCCACACCAACCTCAACCCTCCTCCCGTCTTTGAGCAGCAGCGGGAGTGCCACTGGGGTCGGCAGTGGCATCCCCCTGCTCAGTAAACTGGCCGGTGGAACCATTCCTCGCAGCAGTCTGCCCCGCCCAGCCTCCTTTGTGGGCTCTACAAGCTCCACCTACCGCAGCAAGGGAGTCCAACCGGCGCGAAGGTAAATCCTAGTTTTGCACAAATGTATTTCACTCCTTACAACTTCAGCTATGTGTCTGGAACAACAGACCCTCCAGCACCGCCCCAAGTCATGAGACTTGAGTATTTCTGTTTTCTGCTACTTCATGCTTCAACTCCCCTACATTTGAGAGACAAATACTATACTTTTTACTGCATTACATTTGTTTAATATCCCATTACTTTTCAGTACTTTTTGGTACTTGAAGTATTTTTGATGCTAATACTTCTATAATTGTACTTGAGTGAATGCAGGTGTAACCGAGTACTTTTACCAAAGTAAAGGATCAGTCTGAGTCCAAGTCTGGTCCTGATGGAAGTATTCCAAGATGACATTTTGGTCAGACATTCTTGATGATCTGCTGGTTTTTCCTGTACTACTATTTGACAGTTGTTTTGGAAGGATTGTTATTCATTTGACTTGAGACACAGCAGTAACACCAAAGTTTAATATTCTGCTGACTTTAGGCCTTTTCTTCCTTTCCACAGTTTACCGACACCTCCTAAGAGCTTGTCCACCCTCAGTGCCCTTCGTGACAGCACCTGGAGAGATGGCTGCTACTGAACTGAACCAGTGTAGTAGTGCAGTGGCACCCTGCTGGCTGGGGTGACACTACACCCCAGCATCGAATAGTTAAATGTGGTCACAGGTGAGGGGCTTCACATGAACTTCTCTGTCACACCATTCCTTCAACACTATGCAGAATTTCTTCGGCAAAGGCGGGGTCGCGATGTACTGACACGGACATTCTACATCAAGGGGAGGTTGTTCCTTGTTGCTTTTGTGCAATACACTGCTGGCTGTAGGGTACCAGTAATGCAATGCTTGCTAAAGAGGGCTGCCGGTTTTTATTAAACTAGCACAATGATGCTCTAGTTACTGATTAATATGTTTATTTTAAATAAAACATTTTTGCAACAAGTGCCAATGATGCTGCTAGAATTTAATCAGTCCCTGTTAGTTTGGGCACATGTTGAATTTTTACAAGCAACATATTAAAGTGTCTTTGTGTACAGAGGTAGCTAATACGTGTGTTTAGGTATAGTGTATATTGATGCAACATTTTAGAATTTTAAATGTCAATCTTGACCAAATTTAAAATGTCTGAATGTGTTTCTAGCATTGTCCCACCATGGTGTCATAATACGCTGCACATATCAACACTTTGAAACTGTTGTTGATGCACTTTGTATAAATCTATACACTTACTGATATTTTGTTCTTTTCACTAATGTTTGCACTTGTTTTATGTATCTTCTGGATTTAGGGTAAAACAGTTGTTTATGGGATATTTCAGTTGTATATGGCATAATGTAGCACCCTTTGTTTGTAATGTTTCAGTTGCCTTGACATGACAGTTATCATGGCACATTTTCCGAAATCCTAACACTTTTGTTATTGTGATGGACTGAATGACTTGGAAACTTAAATATAAATAAAATACTCGGATAAAGCTGTCCTTCCTTATCTTTGAGGAAACACTATAAAACAGACATTGTGGGTTTGGTACTCTGCACAGGGTTTTCTTGCTTAAGAGAGACATTTAACAGTTGAGAAACGGTTGAGTTGTTGGGGCAGATAGCTCAGGATGTCAGAAGACTGAGCTGCCAACAAAGTAATACAGAAAATCATAACATTCATGTAGCACGCTGTCAAAAAGCTGCATCAATACCTCTTTGAATAAAAAATGAGGAATGTGGAGCATTGGTTAAGTTATAGGTTACATTAAAAAGGGTTTCACAAATAAGGAAATAGTTCATCTGGCTCATCAACACATCATCATAAACTTCAGGACAATAAAAAGAATTTGCAAGAAACTTTGTTCTGAGGAAACGGACACGATGCTGAAGTTGGCATTCAATTCACCAGTTTAGGGGAAAATTAAGGGAAACCTAAGTTTGAGTACAAATATTTTCACAGTTATTTTTTTCTGGGTCTTCAGTTGTGGCCCAAATACTCAGTTGTAGTACTGAAGGTTCGATTTTGTATAGGCTTTGCCCTGTAGGAGTTGTTGCCATTGGGTTCATCCCTTGTCCTGAAGAGATTTCTTTCGCCCCGTGCCCTGCACTGGGCGCCAACTTAACTATAACTTAAACATTAATTGTGATTTAGCAACCTACAACTCATGAAAATAAAACCAAACCTTAAATACAAATGAAGAAGAAAATTTTAAAA